AACTCGAGCGTCACGACATTGCGAAGTGTCTGCTCTTGTTCCTCGTATCGATCGTACTCACTCGAGTCAATCCGAGATGGCCCGAGTGAAGTTTCATGCAAATGTTTCGTACGGAAAAAAAAATCGCAAACCGGCTACTATTTTCTATGGCAATAGATCATTCATCTTTTCTGCTGCTCGTCTTTAGAATGATCTTCCATAAGCTATTAGGACACGGAGTCAATTGACATTTTTTTAAATGTCTAAAGCATCATCTTTTTACGAATTACTTTGCTCCTCTTGCGTAAACTCGAAAACTGATTGAATCTGATTATTATAATTTTCCTCAAAATTCAATCTACTTTTTTTGTTGGTAGGATAGGATATTCAGATGCCACTTTCACTCGAGCTCCTGTGAGTTCTGTTCCAGCGAGCTCTCAATTATGGGAGCTTCAAAGTGCTGGAGAACGGAGCTGTGAAAAGGGTTCCTCTACGTTTATTTTCATTTTTGGTTATTGTTAGGATATTTTATGGCGTAATTCCATTTACAAGTTCTTTTATGTGGAAAACGTTTAGAAGCGTTGTTTTTGCATTAAGCGCTTTATAAGACTAACATTATTATAACCTAGAAAGCAAATGTTAATTTTTCATTCAAAATCCCCTCCCAGGCATCCTATTTAGGCAAGTTATTGGAGCATCTGGTTGATGACGTTTACGTGTAACGCCAATGTTGTCATACTGTCAACATGACCTGACGATTTTTTGTTTCGTATGGAGGCGTGGATTATCAAAAGTTATTTTCATATTATTTTATTTGTAACTGATGTCCATAACTGAAAATGCCACAATAGTATAGTTCCCCTTTTAATTACCGTAGAAATACATCTTTTATCACTATAGGAAAACTTAAAGTGACACCCCTATGGTCATATCATCCCATATTCACTATAACATGCAGAGTAATAACTTCCGACGACTTAATTAGCATTTACTTTCGAGATTAATTTTCGAGAAACAGGATTTCTATAATTTGCGATAACAAAAAAAGAAAATGTGACGTAATCTAAATCTAAATCTATGTAGATACTCGGAGCACCCCCTCCTACTCTTCTCGAAAGATGTACTGGGTCCTTTATAGTGCACATGAGCCATTGTGTACACTGTGCCTATTGGTTTATATACTTTATCCGAGAAGACTTGCTCAACTTCCAGACCCATAGGCGCGCGTGCCGTTCGAACCAGCGCCGATATTATAGCTGTAGGTTTCGGGCCCCTGCCTTAACCGCTCGGCCATTCGACTTGCGTATATTAAGTGACGTAGTCGTTTTCGTTATCGATTCCGTAAAGCTTTGTGTACACTATCAAATTTTATGTGACAACAAAATGTGATACGTCATATCACATAGGCCTATTATCAAATTGTATAAAAAAAAGTTGAACGTGTTCCATCAAATTTTATGTCACGCTTTTTTGATGAAATTTCATAGTGTAGACAGAGCTTTAGGTTGCTAAACCTCCCTATTACTTCACCTCATTCACCATAAAGAGTACGACAGTCGTGTCGTCACGACGCCATGTGACGCTTATGGAGTACCAATCAGAGGCCAGAGAACTCACTGCAGTAAATTTCTAATTGAACTACAGTTCAGGGACCGAATACTGAGCGATATCGCATTCCACGCTCTGTTGTCGACAGACGTTTAATGAGTGCGATATCGCTCAGTATTCGGTTCCAGAACTGCAGTTCAATTGGAAATTTACTGCAGTGAGTTCTCTGGCCTCTGATTGGTCAAAATATGCATGGAGGGCGCTAAACTTGCAGCGGAAACTTAAACTCACTGCAGTAATTTTTTTCTGCTCTGTGATTGGTTGGAATTTATTGCCAAGAATCTTGCTGCAGAAAGTTTAATATACCACCCAAACGCTTTACTACGATCTATTTGATTCGTCGATGAATTAGATACTATATCACCATGCATTAAGAGTATTTTAACGTATAAATGTATCACACTTGCATTTTACACCCCAAGATTCAAGATGGCATTTATTGTCATATACGAGCATTAGTTGTTCGCCCATCAACAAGAATAAGATGGTCAGGCGAAGACCTATATAATTGTTACTACTGGTGTGATTGTTAAAAAATTTTCAGCCAAGTAGAAAGCATACATACATACATATGTAT